GCCATTGCCATTGGCGTTGTTGTTGTTGCCATTGGAAGAGCCGGGTGGAGGGACAGCACCGAAGGATTGCTCAAAGGGATTGGGTTCAAGAGCAAAAGGGTTGGAGGCTCTGGAGGAAGAGAGGAAAGCGGCAGACTCTGATTGGTCGAGATCAGACTGTGCGGCGGAGGCTGCAGGGTTCTCAGCAGTAGTGGCAGCAGGGGCACCAGAGGCCTCAGCACTGGTTGTTTTAATAAGAGGTGCTGCAGCGGGTTGTGTGTCTTGCTGTGGTTCAGCGTCGGGGTCGTCTGGCAAGGGCGGACGGGAGTTAGTAAGTGGTGTGGAGTGACTCTCAATGGGGTGCAGGATAGACGGTGATGAGGGTGGTGATGGTGGTTAGGAAGATGTAGATGGATGTTTCAAGACATTGTGGTGGTGTGATGACGACATGGAGGACAGACGATGATATCATGATGGTGATGGTGGTGCTGGGTGGTGATATCACCGGGGTAGACTTGCACCCTCGAGACTAGGGAGAAATTGGCGGGAAAAGAGACATCGAGGGAGTAATTGGAGGGCAAACCAGGTGGCAAAAAAGAGTATAGACAGTAACAAAGCAAATAAAGACATCAAGTATACACACCTTTCTTTAGAGGAGGCGAAGATGGGCGAGAATGAGGGTGAGAATGCGATTGCGACGCCGAGGAGACGGCGGAGGCCATGATTGTGGGAGGCGAAAAAGGAGTGGGAGAGGGAGAGAAAGAAGAAAAAAGCTAGCCAGTATAGAGTATGATGATGATGATGGTGATGATGATGATGTAGTAGTGCTAGGAGAATGAATAGCAATGGTAGAGAAGAGGGAGAGGACTGAGTCGGTCTCAGTGAGTCTGGCTGGCAGGCAGAGAGTAGAGAGGGAGAACAAAGTAAGAATGATGATGATGATGATGATGATGATGATATTATGAGATGTGACGGAAGAGATCCATTGACGATGACGACGATGATGATGAAAAGACTGGGAGGGAGTGGATGGGCGCGACTGGCTGGTCAGTGGGCGAGACAGAACTGCGGGCGGCGCGCGGATTATCAGATACTGCTGGAGACGCTACTGGCCAGAACAGCCAAAAGGGAACAGAACAGGCGGGACGGGATAGCCGAGGTGGAGAAGGGAGAGTAAGGAGGGAGGAGGAGGAGGAGGGAGGTGAGAGAGAGAAGAGAGAGAGACGAGAGGGATTGAGAGGGAATTAATTGAATTGCTAAAATCTATCAATGCGTTGAAACGAAGTCAGTTGAATTAACGTCCTCTCCCAAAGTGAAGGGTTGAGCCATCTTCAATATTCAGCTTTTTCCCTTTCTTCTTCTTCTCCTTCTCCTTTTTTTGCCCCCAATTTTTAGCTCGAATTGAGGTGATGATGCAGGAAATGAGTTCGATGCAAGGAGATTGCTGGAATGACGTGATGCCATTGGCTGACTAAATCCATGGGAGTGCGTGCACGAAGAAGAGAATTTTCGAAAAAAAAAAAAAAATTGTTTTGGAACGTTACACCGTCACATACATATTAACAAAAAATAACAGTTACGCTGCGTTTCTGAACAGCGCTGTGTACATTCTGTCATCCGCTTTGCAAAACCATAAATTCAATTGCAAGCCCTGGTAGCTCAGTTGGCTAGAGCGTTCGGCTTTTACTACTATTTAGCCACCGAAATGTCGTGGGTTCGAGCCCCACTCAGGGCGTTTTTTTTCGTCTGCTCTTTATTTTTTCCTTCTATTTACGCTGCTCTCCGCAATCACAAGACACTTCTAGATACCGTCACCGTCACGGCCGTCTGATAACAACGAGGCAGAAAGACATATTCACCTTTACTTCTCCTCGTATTGAACATCTGGCATTGTCGTTGAGCTTTTGAATTCAGCGATATCACATCTATAACGGCCAACTGTCATCGACAACGCTTGTCGACTCCACCCACACTCGCCGTCATCACCATCTCCTATCCACTTACCTCTACAATCAAAGAGCTTCAATCTCATCGCATCAAGACACCATTAACACAACCACACGCGCACACCACACACCATGACCTCCACCGCCCTAATCGACTCCGACGAAATGGAGCCCACGCTCCAACCCCTTCTCGACCAAAAGACACTACGCTGGGTCTTCGTCGGCGGCAAAGGCGGCGTGGGCAAGACGACCACCTCCTGCAGTCTCGCGATCCAGCTGGCCAAAGTCCGCAAGTCGGTGCTGCTGATCTCGACGGACCCGGCGCACAACCTGAGCGATGCGTTCGGGCAGAAGTTCGGGAAGGAGGCGCGGCTGGTGGACGGGTTCGATAATCTGAGCGCGATGGAGATCGATCCGAATGGGAGCTTGCAGGATCTGTTGGCGAGTGGTGGTGATGGAGGGGAGAATGATCCGTTGGCTGGGTTGGGGGTTGGGAATATGATGCAGGATTTGGCGTTTAGCGTGAGTGTTTGGACCTCGACCTACGAGACGAGACTACGATCGATACTGACCTTCGCAGATACCCGGCGTCGACGAAGCCATGTCCTTCGCGGAGGTCCTGAAGCAAGTGAAATCCCTCTCCTACGACGTGATCGTCTTCGACACCGCGCCCACAGGCCACACCCTCCGCTTCCTGCAATTCCCCACGGTCCTCGAAAAAGCCCTGGCCAAGCTCTCCCAGCTGTCCTCCCAATTCGGGCCCATGCTGAACACGGTGCTCGGCGCGCGCGGCGGGGCGGGCCCCAACGGGCAGAACCTCGACGAGATGCTGTCGAAGATGGAGGGCCTGCGGGCGACGATCGCGGAGGTGAACGCGCAGTTCAAGGACGCGGACCTGACGACGTTCGTGTGCGTGTGCATCGCGGAGTTCCTGTCGCTGTATGAGACGGAGCGCATGATTCAGGAGCTGGCGTCGTATCAGATCGATACGCATTCGATTGTGGTTAACCAGTTGCTGTTCCCGGCAAAGGGGAATCCGTGCGAACAGTGTAATGCGAGACGGAAGATGCAGAAGAAGTATCTTGGGGAGATCGCGGATTTGTATGAGGATTTTAATGTGGTGAAGATGCCGTTGTTGGTCGAGGAGGTTAGGG